GAGTGAATGTAGGACATTATTTGACTGAACCATTATAAATTTCTAGTGTGTTCATTCTCAGTTTTACTTTCTATAATTTACTTTTTTGTGCTTTATTTTTCTTAAAAATTGCATGTGGAAGAATATATGTTTGATGATATTTTGATTTGAGTAACTCATCATCACCATAGTTATAAGTTTTTGTTTCATTATTTTTCCTCATCATCAGGTGGTACAATTATTTATTTTAATTTATTAAAAAATCCAAAAAAAAAAAATTGTGTTAAGGTAAAATTTTAAAATAACTAATTCACCTCACCTCTTAGTGTGCCTAAATAGTTCACCGAGGCTTAACATCCTACATTAAACTTTCACAACACCTGAGGCCATTTCTATAGTTACTATAAATAGTTTTCTAATCTTTTATTTAATAGTTCTATCAGTTTTAATAGAGTCCTATAATTTTCAGTATAGTTCTTTAGTGTTCCCTTAGAGTAAAGTTTAAGGGAGGCTAAATAAGTACAAGATACTTTCATAAAAGCTCTTATCCAATTTTGTGTAAGAAATCCTATCATTGGAGGGGGAAGGAGTGCAAAGAAATCATTTGTACTATCCATATAAAGTTTTTCCATATTATTTATCCCCTATATTTTCTTCTGTGAGTAAAAATAAAGATGTGTTTTCTTTCACATTTATATATATCTAGCTAATTTATGAGTTTTATTCAAATAATGTAAACATAATGCAAGTAAAAATGTAGACTCTCATACCTTGAATGAAATTATGGATGTTTTCAATAACTCCCACTCTTAATTTAATGTACATAATGGTATTGTGTGTAGTTAATATCAATATCTAATATGATATATTATCTCGATTGAGGAAAATCGGAATAAATATTAGTATTAAAATGGAATGTTGACATGACTATACATAACATGCTAAACTTTATAGGTTCTACTAAGTTATTAGAGTTACAGGAAGGCCATAAACCTCAATTTTTACCCTTAAAATCTTGGTAGAGATCTAGGGATGCATATGTTCTGTTCTACATCAATATTTAAGAGCATCATTAAGAAAATATTATTGTTTAACAAGTATTAGTTCAAAACATAGTTTATATATTTGAGAAACTCATCGTCCTTTACATTCTTTGTAAGTGTTATAAACTCAAAACTTAACATTTTTATAGAGTAGGATAAACCTTGCATCTATAGTAGATAATACTCATATTATTGTAATCTAGCAGAATACTTACTTATGGGATTGACACTCACTCAATCACTTTGTTACTTGATTGACATGTATACTTTCTTATCTAGTGAGAAATGTATATCAAAGAAAACCTAAGCATAAATTGACCCTAAGGGATACCTTATTTCATACACGTAATGTACAATTCACATGTCTGCATCAAGTTTTTGGCATCGTTGCTAGGGAGGTATTGTACTTATTACAATTTTAAACTATAGTATTAAATTAGTTTAGTTTTTAGACCTACTTCTTTCCTATGATTTATTTTTCACGTTTTTGTTAAAATTAAAAAAGAATATATATTATTATTAGTTTAGTTTTTATTCTTCACTTTTAAGTGTACTATTTTTTTGTATAGTAGATCTAGTAAGGTGTCCTTATCATTTGATTCTAAGATTGAAAGGACCATTAGAAAAATCTAAAAAACTAAAAAAGATTTTTCCTTTAGAGATTTCTGAACTATTGCAAGATTAGGACCATCCTTGACCTCTTAGGGAGTATGTCAATCCTGTAGTAGAAGAAATCCATCAGAATAAGAATAGACTTACCATCCATGCTAATAACATTGAGCTAAAATCCATTATTTTTTATATGATTCAAAATTCTCAGTTTGAGGAAACTCTTATTGAGGATCCCAACCTACACTTAGCTAGCTTCTTTAAAATATGTGTAAAATCTAAGTACAATGGTATCAACAATAATGCTATTAGGCTTTGATTATTTTTATTTTCTCTGAGAGACAAAGCTAAGATTATGTTGAACTCATTGCCCCTAGACTCTATAACCACATGGAATGATTTGAAACACAAATTCCTAACTAAGTATTTCCCACCTTAAAAAACTACCAAGCTTAGAAATGATATCACAACTTTTGCCCAACTTTAAAGAGAGTCGATTTAGGAAAGTTGAGAAAGATTTGAAGAAATGCTTAGAAAATACCCTCTCCATGCTTTACCGGATTGGTTGGTTATTCAGACCTTTTACAATGGACTAGTAGAAGGTATTTGAGAAAGCTTATGAATTAATTGAGAAAATGACTATAAATAATTTCTAGTGTCTTTTTAATAGGATGAATCCTAATAGAGTAGTTGGAATTTATGAATCAGATGTCTTATCTATTTTGATTGCGTAAGCTGCTATAATTTCTAAAAAAATTTGGATACTATTAGAGTTAGTTCATGATCAGGATCATCTATGCAATTAGTTCAATAAAGGACTCAACCAATCTATTAACATGAGGATAACAGATTGTTGAGTATCTCCAATTGAAGTTATGACTTCTTGCAAAATTATTGTTTTTAGAGCATTTGAAGGGGAGACCTTATATATATATATATATATATAATATATATATAATATTATATATATTATATAATAATTCCAATAAAAGGATGCAAGTCATGTTTCAACCAATATTATCCAAGAAAAAAATGAGAAGAACAGACTAGTAAAATAAAAAAAAAAAAACAATTGACTTCTCATAATGGACAACTTCAACAGTAAAAAAAAGATGATCAGTAAATATGAGACTGATGATTCTCAAAAGAAGCATTTATGAATTGGTGAAAATAATATATGTCCACAACTTCGAAAGGCTACAAAGCTATTTCAAAGGTGCAAACATGAGCACCAACAATCCCAACATCCCACCTCCAGTGATAATCTTCTTGGCATTCATTATTACTAAAACAACGTAACCAACATCTATTGAAGCGATTAAGTGCAAAGTGTCGTTGATCATAGCATAAGAGAGAACTCTTTCTTAACTATTTCAACTAAGTTTTGTCAGGAGGGAGTTGCTTTCAAGTAATAACAAAAGGTATCTCCAATTCACACCTTCATCATTCAGAGGAAGAAAAAATCTCACCCCTAAATAAAATTTTCTATATTATATATTCAAGGAAGTACTGTAGAAAAAAAACTTGACTGAAGAAGTCAAAACCCAACTATATATATATATATATATATATATATATAGCTCTTTTTAAGGATAGAAAATGTGCTCAATAAAGTACAAATTCTTATGAAAATCATAGACGTAAAACCCTCACAAGCTAAACTAATAACTTCCAAAAAATTTTTAGACTTGATGATTTTTTCTTATGACCGTAATTGTGTCGTTGGTAAATCAATATCTAAAGTGGAGCTTATCAAATCATTAAAAGATCTATTAACAGATGTATGGATTCTAGATAAAAGTATTTAGAGTTGGCCCGCTTATGTTGCGGGAATGGATGAAGTATGCAGATATCTTGAAGAATTTATTGTAGATGGGAACTGGATTGAAGTCAAACTAAGTAAGTACTTTGGTAGAGGATTGGTGAAACTTATCAAATCATTTAAGATATATTCTGATTTTAAGACGAATGAATTAGAGTTGGTTTACAAATATTTTGGTAAATCAATATCTGTTGTAGCCTTGTCCAAACAGTATGAAGAATTTAGAGAAGATAATCTTTAGAGCTTGATTAAAAAACTAAAGATCATACATCGAGTTGAATTATTTTGGTGGCGATAAAATAGCAAAGCTAGTTCTTCTAATGATTTTCTAATGTATAGGAGGTTGTTGGATCGCAATGTTTGTCTGAGAGGTTGTAATGTTGTGGAAGATGCATACCATATTGTTGCAAGCAGTGATAAGATTCGTAATGTATTTTAGGTTCTTAAATCATGGGGTTTTGCTATATCGACTATTAATTCTCTTGAAGATTGTAATAAGATGCTAAAAAAGTTATCAACAGATAACCCTTTCATTGGGAACTTGTATCTCTCAGTTGTATTTTTTCTTGGAAGAGCAGGAGTAAGTTTATACATGGCGGAAAGGAAGATGGATTTTCTTTTGTGTTTCTGATGCAGTTAACTGGGATGTTACTTCTTTTGCTTTTAATCAGTATTCAAAACACTGTGGTGCAAATAAGCTTCATCAACTATCTCATTCCTTTTGGCACCCTCCTTCAGCCCAATGGATTAAAATAAATATTGATGCCTCTTTGTTGAAATCAAATAAGTCAAGTATTGATGGAGTAGTAAGAGATTATAAAGGAAGATTCCTATTAGCTTTTGACTTTACCAAATTTCACTGGGACATCTCACATCTAGAGATGCTAGCTATCACATCTTTGAAGAATGTTGTACAAGATTGGATGCTTGATGCAAAAGGGATAATTATAGAAGGAGATATTTATAATGTTATCAAATCCATTCAAAGCTTGATGAATAAGAAGTGTCCGGACAAGGTTGTTCGAGACTTGGAGAAATTCTCTTTTTTAATTTGTTTAATCAACTTTTATTTCAATTTTCAAATAAAAATTATAATAAATTAGCTAATCTTTGTGCTAATTATGCTCTTCTTTCTAATTTTATTTGAAATGATATTACCTGTAATAAAATTCCTCCTTTTTTATTCTCTGTTAAAGTAGGAATTTGATTTTGTAGTTTGTAATTAGGCTCTTTTAATAAATTGCCTTGTGCAGCCTTCCAAAAAAAAACTGTGCTGTTGGTACATTAGTTTGATTCATAGTGAATGCATACACCTCAGTATATGACTCTCGGACAGTGGATTTTCTCATTGAATATTTATAAATCAGGATGGAAAAGCCGAAATTTCATAATTAAAAAGTATTTATAAAGAACATATAAATTTTTTTTTTTATTTTCAGGTGAATTTAATATAAAATTAATTTTTTCATTTAAAATTTCGATATAAGCTAATAATATTTTGTCAATTCAGCCAAACAGACTCCCGGAGTCTTGCTCATCATGTTAAATTGAGCTAATTCTGACTCACTGATTTATATATTGGCTTATCTAAAATTTTTAATAAAGCTATATTTGAACAAATTAAAATTCAAAAGATGATAATTAAGGCTATAAAAGAAACAACAAAAATATTGTTCCAAAGGCCTCCTGCTTAGAAAGCCCACATTGTGCTTCATCAAGCTGATTTTCTTCAGACTCAAATGACAAGCAAATGGGTTTCAAACAAGCAATAACCTTAGAAGCTTCAGGATTAGTCTTTCAGAACATATTGTTGCAGAAGATCAGCGATAATAATGAGCTTTCTTTGATATGCAGCATTTCAGGTTGGACCAGAAAACCCCTGAAGTACAGAAATCGGTGGCCGAATGTTGTGGGGCTGTAAAGGTAAAAATATAAAGCTAAATATGTTAGCTCCATATTGATATATCATAGCAAATGATGAATGTTCTGTACTATAATTGAATCACTAAAGGCAGTCAACTTCAAGCTTAACAAAGTAAACAAAGAGTTGCTGTTCCTTGGACAATTCTTTTAAGGAATACGAAAATACTTTGTAGCATAATAATCCTCATTAACATTCATAATAATAAAGACTCCTGTTATCAATTGCCAGGGGTAAAAAGGACATCTGCATTACAAACATGCTTGGCTTTATTTTAATGTTAATGGGGCTTGAATGCCCATAAAGTTCTTAAATTTATGGGTGCTATTAAAAATTTTAGGATTTAAGTTGTAGTTGAAGATAGGTGTAATAATAAAACAAAAAAATATCTGCCATGGCATTGTTTCATCTTGTTTATTCACCTCCCTTCTTCAACATCTTTTTTGAATAAAAATTAAAATTTTTATATGAGAAATCTGCTTTAAAATGCAGTAAGAAAGCCGTCCCAAACGAAACCTAAGTGTGCATTATGATATGTTACCATCATTGCATCGCTTTGGTCTTCTCATTTTACTGCTTCTCCATCCATCGACCCTTCCATGCAAAATTTTGATTCCTTAACCCACCTGATTTGTCTTAAACCAATTCTAACCTAAATCACCTTCATAGACCAATTCCCTAATTAAATTAAGCCAAATACCTAAACCCTATATTCCAAACTACATTCTTTTCAAGTATCACCAAGAACTCTTTTTTTTTTTCTTCGGAGAGGTTGGGGTATCCATCAGCTGTGAGGCATCAATCCTTTTCATTCTACCAAACTTAGACAAATTCCGCATACTTCAATTGATGTAGAAAATGTTAGGGTCTAGGATTTCAATCAAAACATAGGTTCGGTGTTATGATGCTTTTATAAGATGCTATGTTAACAAGCCAACGAACACAATAATTATAACTACAAAAGATGAAAGTGAATTGAAACAAACAACGGAATTGCAGGATCTTATTAAGAAATTTGTTTCCGCAATGAAATTATAACATTAATGATTCACTAAGTTAGGATTTTCAGTTTTCGTAGTTATGGACTTGCTTCCAGCATGCGGTTACATGTTAGATTAACAGAGCGATCTGAAATAATGGCAAGAAGATAGTAAACAAATATGCGATTAACAATAATCAACCACTTAACAATTAGAACTTTCACCTTAGAGTTTCCCTCTCGATCATTCTTTGGAAATAGGTTTAGCGGAGTACAAAAGTTAGCAAGCCTAGTGATGCCACTGCAAGACAGAGGATGCCAGAGGTTCTGATCAATGGAGAGTTGGCCGGAGTTGGAGAGACGGGTGGTCGTCCTGCGATCTTCCACGATCCTGTAGGTTGTTGCTCTTCTATGACGTCCGCCAAAGTATAGAGAATACGCTCCACGTATTCTTCGACGGTGCCTAGTTCTCGTGGCTGTAGGAAGGCTTGGGAGGAAGTAGGTGGCATCTAAGAACCTTCCTGAACATGTGATCAGCAACCTAGAACGTCCGGGCAGCGTTTGAAGTCCTTCCAAATGGCTGGACAGCAAGAAAGCATGTGCAAACTTCCCTGGACAGCGAACCAAAACCTTCAGACAGCTTGTACGAAAGTTTGGACAGCACGCCTTGACCTTAGGAACCTTGGCAGCAGCTCTAAGGGTGATCGGATCTCAGGACTGTGCATAAAATCTGTCCAGAAAATTCTGGACAGCAGTTTGGCATGAAGAACTGCTGCGTTTTGGCTTTCTAGATGCAGAAATTGAAAGAGTAAAGCAGAAAATTTTGAGAATAATAATGGGAAATAGTCTTGAGATTAATTTACTTGCCTAGGTAGCAAGTAATTAAATCCCAAATCAATTTGGGGAGAGAGAGAATAGAAATCTGAAATTAATGTCAGATTAAGTGGAATTAGCGGGATGAATTTGAATTTAAAATTCAAATTCTAATTGAAGGAATTAACTTAGATGAGAGAGAATTGTGAGAGGTAATTAGGGAGGTTTAATGAGGGGGCTATTAATGAAATTGGAGAGAGAAAGCTCATGGAGAGGAACTTTTATTTGGTCCGGTGAACGTACGCTCCTCTACGTTCGGCCACCAATATTTTAGCGACACGTAGCATGAAGAAAAGTCGCCGACCCGACCCGCTGTTTTTTGGGTTCTAGCGCGTGCGTTTTTTAAAATCCTTGACAAGTCGAACAACATCCCATCACCTTTTGGATATATTTCAAATACCTAGCAAATACCGAGTTGTACCTAGTTTTTTCTAGCAATACCGAGCAAATCCTGAGCAAATACTGAGTTGTACCGAGTTGTACCTAGTTTTTTCTAACAATACCGAGCAAATACCTAGCAATACCGAGCAAATCCTTAGCAATACCGAGCAAATCCTGAGCAAATACTGAGTTGTAACGAGTTGTACCGAGTTTTTTTTAGCAATACCGAGCAAATCCTTAGCAATACCGAGCAAATTCTGAGCAAATACTGAGTTGTACCGAGTTTTTTCTAGCAATACTGAGCAAATCCCTAGCAATACCGAGCAAATCCCTAGCAATACCGAGCAAATCCTGAGCAAATACCGAGTTGTACCGAGTTGTAGAAAAACTCGGTACAACTCGGTATTTGTTTAGTTTTGGTCTTCGCAGAGCGGTATTTCTCGTTTTTGCAAAGCAATACTGAGCAAATACCGAGCAATACCGAGAAAATCGCGAACATAGCATTCCCGGGTTCCGCTCCGGGTCAAGTCGTCGGGCCGCGCGGTAAAGAGTAAGAGCACGTGGCGACATGTTATTGACGGCCGAACGTACCTCTACGTCAGGTCAGAGGACATAATAATTGTTCCATGGAGAGGGGCCGGCCATATGTATTGGAGAGAGAGGCTTGGGTTTTAAATAAATGGAGCCCACACACTAATTAAAGGTTTTAAAAAAAATCTGAATTAAATTTCAGATTTTCTATGAAAGGGAAGTTTCCTAATATAAAGGTAATTAATTGGAATTTGTTTGAATTTCAAATTTGAATTGAAATTCAATTAAGAAGATTACCTAAAATCATGAAGTTATTTTAGGAAAATCATCAATGTCTCTTGGGAAAATTTTGAATTTCAAATTTGTAATCCCGAGGGAGGTCGGCGGCTAGAGAAGTGGAGAGGGGATGAAGGGGGAGGAAGGCCGGCGGTGGGTGGTTGGCAGAAGGGGCCGGCGGCTTGGACGGCCCAATGGGGGGGAGAGGCGGCGGCAAGGGGCTTATGGGAAGGGGAAGATCACTTCCAGGGAAAAAGAATAGAAATTTGAAGAGCTTGGGATTTACTCACCTCAAGTACTTCCACCCCAAATCTCATAAAGAAATCTTGGGAAAACTTAGAACACACAAAAAGATCTTTCTCCTCACATGAACTCACTAAGAGATCACCAAGTAGAATAAACTTTTCATTCAATAATTCATCATTAAAAAATAATACAAAGACTAGGCCTTCTTATATAGGCCTCCAAAGCACAAAATGTAAAAGACACAAATGCCCTCGGCTACAACATGACACAAATCCCTTATAGGGGTACAAATGGAAAACTGAAAAAATAAATAAAAGAAATGCACTAAAACACATAAATAAAAACTATGAATCGTAGCCGTCAATCTACGATCCTGCCGATGTCGAAATGTACGGTGGATGTCCTCATCAGAAAGCCAAAAAAATAACTCCAATTCTATAAATACAGTTTTAGCCTTCTAAAAAAATCAAAATATAGTTCATAAAAGCCACACAATCACGTGAGATTGTGCATATATAAAAAAGAATTAGATTGAAGAAAATCTAAAGGAAACCAAACTTACATCAATCATATAAATGAATGTACATATGCACGCAAACTTCCCACTTCAATAAAGTGATTCTTTCATGAAAGTTTCAAGCTTCACCACTAGTTAAGAAATACTGAAATACAAATGTATTCATGTTCAGGAATTTATGTCAATGGTTTCTCTACATGCCCAAGAATGCATTTATAAACCTCATAAAACGAGTATTATGATGAGGAATCGTATGAACATAGGTTACTACTGCCACAAGAAAGGATTGTTCAATAGGAGTGTCAAAAAGGATAACTATCTTTATCACTGTAAGACTAGGAATGGTTGCAAAGCCCGTATAGATAATTGCAAATAGGACTATTCATTGAAGAAAAATAATACTAAAAACAGCACATGAATAACATTCTATTACGAAGAGTTAAAAATAAACTAGATTTAGAAAATAAAAGCTATCCAAAAAGAACCATCAAATAGGAGCCATTGTAAAATTGGAACAAAATGTCACATACAACATACAAATCAGAATCAAGAGTCAGAGCATTAATTCTCTTGAGCTTGATTCAACTCAAAGTACTAATTTAGATGATAGTCTTCCAGTAAATCTAGGTGTAATTGCTATAATTCTTGTAGATATATCAATGGATCATTACATGTTCGTTTGCCCTTTCATTTCACAAAGTATCTTTAATATCCATAATTAGTAAAGGATCCCATTCTCAATAATAGCTTTAAGAAATAGTTGCATATTGGCTTGAGAAATGTGCAGATTATGACATGAATAGCGACCATATCAACTGGAAAACAAAAATGATAAGGCTGAAAAAGAAGAATTCAAAGTATTGGTTGATGGAAAAAAAAAACTGCGGATTTACATGAATAATGACCATATCAACTTAATTGAATTTCACATATTTTCTATTAACAGCTACATAGGACTTTTGAAATTGTTATAATTAAGAACGAACTTCTAACAATAGTAACACAGTAGAACATGACGTATGTAGGAGTGAAAAAATTATTCTCCCCATCTCTTCTTCCTAGAGATATATTTCCCATCATTACATAGCAAGACTTTGAAAGTTCAATGGAGGATGTTAAGTCTCATTGAATTGTACCTAGGCACACCAAAAGGGGAGGGGTAAATTGATTATTTAAAAATTTCTTTAACAA